TTTTAGCGACACTTTTAGGGAAAGCAAGGCAGCTTTATTTAGATGATGCAATTCATACCAAAGCTAACTGAATGTGCTTCACATTATTGAGAATACTCGAAAAAGAAGCCTATCCCAGCTGTCATCGGACTCACAAGAATACTTAGGGACAATTTAGAGTGTTCAATCAGCCTGCCATACCTGTGCATGTTTTTGGAATGTGGGAGGAAACGGGAATACCCAGAGAAAACCCACGCAGGCACGGGGGGAACATGCAAACTGCACACGGGAAGGCCAAAATTTCGGCGACCACCAGGCCGCCATAATTTAATCAACGTATATTTTTGCATCACGTATAGCAACAAGATCGTGATAACATTTAAAAGTTATTTGATCGATAAACGTCTTCAACGTGTTCTTGCCTGCACGCGGCAGACACGCAAAAACAGAGAAAATTACTCGATATAACAATAGTCACCGAAGGCTTGGACCGAGATGAAAATCTTTTTAGGAGCCACAAGCAGGGGATTCTGGGACATTTTTTGTGCCGGGAGAGGTCACTTTTTCTCGAAAATATTTCGGGCTTGTGCAAGTAAAGCACTGAATGGAAAAAGCAAGGCTGCAGAATCGTCAACAACTTACAGAAAACGTCGTCCTTCCGCTTGTATGCCACTATAACGTATATGCTCAGCAGGTATGTGGACACTAAAGTCACCGAAGGCTTGGACCGAGATGAAAATCTTTTTAGGAGCCACAAGCAGGGGATTCTGGGACGTTTTTTGTGCCGGGAGAGGGGTAACTTTTTCTCGAAAATATTTCGGGCTTGTGCAAGTAAAGCACTGAATGGAAAAAGCAAGGCTGCAGAATCGTCAACAACTTATAGAAAACGTCGTCCTTCCGCTTGTATGCCACTAGACTGTATATGCTCAGCAGGTGTGTGGACACTAAGTGTGTGAGGGAGATAAGGAGAAGACTTACATTGGACGATTCACCTCAAAAGTACCGGAGAACCCAAGCCATCAGATTTGCAAGGCGCTCTCCGCAGCTGCTATGTGATGTCATATTTCGATTCTCATCAAAGTGGAATTTGCGCGTGCTTGTCAGAGGCATAGACTGCTCATCAGACTGAATATGAGCTTGTCTTAGACACACACACGCACACGCACACGCACACAAATGCCATTTAAGGTCCCAGGAGAGAGAATGGCAAGAAGGGAGAGAATGATGCCGAGGCAAATATAGACACAGACGCTTGCTGATGTTTGCTGACGGAAGAGCTGCACTCTCTCTCTAATTCATCAGTTTCACGTGCAATCAACGTAAGAGCTCGGCCATGAATGCTATCGCCATGACGCTTGATCAAAGTGGAATTTGCGCGTGCTTGTCAGAGGCATAGACTGCTCATCAGACTGAATATGAGCTTGTCTTAGACACACACACGCACACGCACACGCACACAAATGCCATTTAAGGTCCCAGGAGGAGAGAGAATGGCAAGAAGGGAGAGAATCATGCCGAGGCAAATATAGACACGGACGCTTGCTGATGTTTGCTTACGGAAGAGCCGCACTCTCTCTCTAATTCATCAGTTCCACGTGCAATCAACGTAAGAGCTCGGCCATGAATGCTATCGCCATGACGCTTGTGATTTTAAAATGTTTGTTCAAGGTAATAGCTTTGCTCCGTTAAGGTCGCGGCAGCAAAATTTTGATTTCGACATTTTCGACAAATGTTACATGCGCTGATGATTCATAATAAGTGTGGATCAAATGCTCGCGTTGGCCAACAGAATCCACGCAATGGCGCGATGCTGCGTCAGCACAGTCAGGAAGGGATCTGCAGCGCTACATAATTGATCAGTGCGCCCGTTGATTATAAGGGATAAGTGGTATTGACCCGAGGTGTGAAGAGAAGAAGAAAAACGTGTTGAGGTGCATCTTAATGCATGTAGCTGTTTGCCCAAAAGATTTTGAAACGGATTCAGGAAATGTAAGCCCTGTGGAGGGGATCAGGCCGCAAGGTCGTTTTCCTCTTGTGAGGTACAAAACAAGAACTGGAGGGCAGGGCGATATGGCCTTAAAATAAAATTATTGACTTTTTTTTTCCCCGCGCCCTAAAATCCGATGCTAATCGATTTTTTGCTTCCTCAGCTTTGTGTCATCTTGGATAAAGGGGTGGAAAACTATTTCCCCATATAGTGTCTGGGTTTTTTTTTTTTTTTAACTCAACTGCAGATAGGATCCATCGGGTGAGGCCATGTTGACCATTTTTGCCACAGTATTATAAAATTAGTGTGTGTCCGAAGGCATAACATAACAGATGAAATGTGCACAGATCACCTATTACAACAAGCATGGCCACTCGTTGTAGAAATGCAGGACTAAAAACGCAGTACGTGTATTTGCTCCATGATTAGCGTCATCGTGTGATTCTATAGCGGCCTTTGATGTCACGTATAATCATGTGATTATGACATTCCCTTTCTTTCTGTGCCACTTGATGGAGGGAGGCGGTCGGCACTAAATGCTCTTAATATGTGCGTGAGGCTGGAGGTTTCACGTGCCTTTTCGCTGCTCAGCACCTCTCCCTCTCTGTTCCTTTGTCACGGCGCTGATTTCATCCCACTTTCATGCGACGCACACACCGGGCACTCTCTCGGGCACAGATGAGCTTGGAAACAGGCTGATATACCCTGTGTGGAAAATGTGATTACGTTATGTCTTTTTGGGAGTGATGAAGATGTTGTATCAAATTCTTATAGCAAGAAAATATTACAAGATGTGCCAAATTGGTCATTGGGTGATTTGTGTGCCACAGCTGATCCCCCTGAAGTGAGTGAACATACAAGAACATGCTGGGGCGTTTTCTTAACTAACTGACTGGCTAACTGTGGATTTTAGGGAAGGTTGGGTCACTTTTACCGAAGGTTGGGTTGGTTATTTTGACCAAGCAGATTGGGTTGAAGATTGAATTTGGGCATGTAACCGGTCACCATTTTGGACAGTTTTGCTGAACCTGAAGTAAAATTTTATTTAATTATCTTCCAAAACGGCTCAGCGCTGACTCAACGACCCTTAACCTTGTTTAAAACAAAAAATGATGACTTTTGATGCAAATTCCCAGCCACTGCTGGTCTGAAACCTTGATTAAAAATGGGCGTGTTACGTTAGCAAGGGCGTCCAGTGTAAAAATATATTACGCGAGGGACTTGCCCTGACACGGGAAAGTTGTTTCTAAGAACATTTTGCGACTAAAGTAGGCATTATTTTTCAACTACAGCTTGGCTAATCACCTCATAAATCATTTTTGGGTCGCTTCAACTCATCAGTATAGCAAGTTTTTTTTTTTTTTTTTTACCCCTTACTATGTCTAAATCTTGACCCAATGTTCTGGTTCAAATCTTGGTCCCTTTTTGACCCAGCGCTGGGCGAGCAAATTCGCTCCATTTGGTGTTACTTTAATAACCCAGCAGCTTCAACAGTGTACAGTGTGCTATAAAAAAAATCTCCACTCGATTGTGGCCATACTGTAATCTGCATAACAGAAAAGCTTGACGTGATGGCAGTTGAGTGGCAAGAAGAAAGAGAGAAGCAGGCGTCTCTGCATATGGATGCTGATTAAATATTGATGATCAGCGGCATTGAAGCCTTGATTAGGACCTGAGCGGGAGATGTGCAGCCACACACGTTCGATGAATCACCACCCGCACACACAAGTTAAGAAGTTTTCACGATGCCTACTGCTAGTCAAGCCACTGCCTTCTTCTCATGGCTTGTCATGATCACCTTCCTGCATCTTCCCTCCACTTCCTGCTGGGTCGCGGGGGGGTGCTGGAGGGGCACATAAAGACAAACAACCATCCGCGCTCACACTCACACCTACGGACAATTTGGAGTGTTTAATCAGCCTGCCGTGCATGTTTTTGGGATGTGGGAGGAAACCGGAGTACCCGCAGAAAACCCACGCAGGCCCGGGGAGAACATGCAAACTCCACACAGGGAGTCCGGAGCTGGAATTGAACCCGGTACCTCTGCACTGTGAGGTAGCCGCTCTAACCACTGGACCACCAAGCCGCCCACCCTGCGAAATTCAGTCTTTGAAAAATCTCTTGTCAGAAACTCAGCTGTGGCCTGAAACTCGGCAACCCGTCTTCAAATGTGAGCAAGTGTGAGATGATAGTTTTCCAAGGGTCCGTTCCAAATCTTCTCAGAATTCTAGCGAGCTTAACACAGATTCACTCACAAGTTCAGCTCATGATGAATGGGAGCGAAAACAAAGATTTGGTCCAGTATATGAGTAGGACCTCCACAGTGGAGAGTGCGAGCCAAAGAGGCAAAAAAAAAAAAAGACGTGAAAACCTCCACCACTCAATAATTCTTCTTTGTTGACGATGACAGTCAAACGACTCCGCATGTCAACGAAAAGAACACCATTGAGATGAACGAGAACCGAGCCAGGCCTTCTTTCTCTCCAGTCCAATCACAGTAAACCTCAAATGTGTTTTTCTGGATGAACGCTCAAAAAGAAAAAAAAAAACATCCCACAGACACACTTGCAACATGTTGTAGGAACGTCTGTCGAGAAGCTCTGCAAGCTGCTAAGGTCGTCGTGTGCGTCACGAAAACCCCTTTTACTCCTTCTAAATTACAAAGTCATTGCAGCCGCCTTCCCACTCCTTGCGGTTGATCTTGGAAAAGAGCATCATCACTTGAACGTTTCAACTCAAAACTCTTGGCATCCCGGGCCGCTTTCAGTCTCGCTGAGTGACTTTCGGTCCCCCGTTAAAAAAAACCCACTGGCAGCTGCGAGGCCCACCGCGCTGAACGCGACATTGCAATTCGACAAAAGCTCCACCTCAGCTGTTTCCCAGCACAACAAAAGCCTTCCAGACGTACAAAAACTCACCCATGAAGGACTGATCTGGTGCATTCAAGGCAGACCCCCCCTCACCCCCACTCCCTTGAGTGTATAAACAAACACCTTGAAAGAAGGGCTTCACATGTTTGTTTTCTCTTTTGCAGTGACGTTGCTGGACTCCATGTCAGCCTTGGCCGACCTGGGCTGGGAGGCTTATCCTAATGAGGGGGTGAGTATGCGCAGCACACATCACACGCTCGCGCAAACAAACACGGGCCTTTCTTCGTGCCGCCGCCACATGTATAAGTTATGCACGTCATGTTTTATTTTTAAGGGAAGGGAAGGCGGGACTTAGCAGCAGCCGCAGTCCAGTGTGCTCGAAAAGAGAGAGAGAGAGAGAGAGTGAGCGCTGAGTTCTTGAGCTCTTCTTGCTAAATCAGGAGTCTTCAGGGGGAATTTACAAATTATTTCCGCCGCACTGAAAACTGTGCTGTGACGCTGTAGCCTCCATTTATTTCGGGTTGCCTTTTTTTTTTTTTTTTGGTAGGGCAAGAGTAAAGGGGTTGGCGGGAGGGGTAAATATTATTATGTAAGATGAAATGTAGACGCCTGTGATGTTTGCACGCATATATTGTGGATTGGCGTGCATGTAAGGGTTGCGTAACCCGCCTATTGCAGGTAAAGCGAGAGGAACGTGTCGCGAGGACCAACGTGCTAGAAATATGAGCGACTTTGTACGGCACGCAAGCAGAGGAGCCGTTGACCGGCACTGATTAGATTGGACTCGATTCCAACTTCCGCGTGGCCATTCAGCGCGGGCGGCTTGAATTGCGGGACGCCGCGCACGGGTTTCATGGTTTGCGAGCGGCAAAGAGGCAGCGGCCGAAGCGAACGGGGCTTAGCGGGCTTGTTTTTCTCAAGCAATCGAGGGTAGCGGGTTCGTGCGCTCGAAAGCGCATTGATTGTGCGGCCATCTTGTTTATGTTTGTGGATGTTTTCTTTCAGCGAGGTTCTCGTCGACGAGCATAATGTCTTCCATCTGTGACTCGTTATGAACAAGTCGGCGCACACGGGTTTTCTTGTCATGAAAATGCGATTCGGTTGACGTGGGCTTCCTGAAAAAGCACATTTGTTCTCATTTTACAATTACAAATTTACCGACTGCAGAGTGAAATGCATCTTTTTTTTTGCATCTATCTTTTTATCTCGCGTTCAAGCAAGGATTGCACATCACTCCCTTGAGTGTATACAGAGAGGAAATTACATAAGCGGATGAAAGGGGTCGACTTTGTTGCTTTCACGAGAGATGTTCCTTTACTCTTACACAAACAAACTTGTTGCTGCTTGTTTATCTTGCCTTTATTTTAGTTTGATGGAGTTTTCAGTTGTGTTCTTCAAACGGATGTCTCTCTAATTTACTGCAGTCAGTTATGGTTTAGTACAAATGGTGTTTTTTTTTTTTCCCAGAAAGAGGACCATCTGGTTGAAGGCAATCTGTGCCTGTGGAGGTAACACAAACAAACGTGGAGTCAAAATATGAGCCCGCTGAACTAAAAAAAAAAAAAAATGCACTTTGGATTTAAAATCAATATTGCGACCGCACCTGAAATCAAGGCAAACAGTTTTTGTCACTCTCAGTCATCAGGATTGAGTCTCGTCGAGGTTTCAGAATAATATATGTCATAGAAATGGTTTCTTTTACCCTGATACTCGCTGTTTGGCACACGCAAATTCACCTATTTGCTGATTTTGTTTTTACTCTTTTTTTCTTTTTTTTTTAATTTTAGTTTTCACATTTAAAAAAAAAAATTTTTTTAGGTATTTTCCTCCTATTTTTCCTCGATTTTTCATGGAAAATATATACGGAATGTTGGAAACTTTCACATTTGAAGGGGGAATCAAGCCCCAAATTTTCTTTACAAGAATATATTCTATGCAGCCACACTAGTCTAAACACGATATTCGGACTAATATGGCGTTTGTGGAATACGAATCCAGCAGCAAATTCCACCCATTTTTATCCATTGGGATCGGAAAATGGATGGATGGATGGATGGAGTTGCTCAGGGCTGAGGTTAAGGACCATTGCAAATGTTACATGACCAAAGTCAGAAAACAGATGAGGCGTGATTGGTCCTTACCTCAGCCCTGAGCAACTGTGATGTCATTTTCGGTCGACGGTAAGCGGCAAAATGGCCGCCCCCCGAGATTCACACTGCAGCATTTTCCTCCCATTTCCATGATGTAATCCAATCACGTTGCATCCACACGTTTGCTCTTTCTCTCTCACCAGGACGTTGCGCTTTGGCTTTAGTTTGCTTTTTGTGGCCAACAAACTGAAAGACGACACGAACCAATCCGGACTTTCTTCTGGAGTTTTGCATTCAGCAATTCACTTGTGGTGTTTTCAAATCCATTAAAAAATTGCAAGTCTATCTGCGTCTCGACATATTAGCGGCTTGTTTGTGTCACTGCTCAGCGAATGTCAAAATAGGAGGAAGTAAGTGGCCGGTGAACAGAGGGGAAAATGGTGCGGTTGCAAGAAAGTCTTGTGTTTCCCATAATGGGTCTTATCTAGTTGACCTTTGCGCTTTTAAAACCTTGAGATTGGTTTCAGCTCGAGCCAATCCCGACCAATCTGAGACCACTGTCTACACGAATTAGTCCAAAAACCACACTTGACCCCCGCAGGTCAAATTTAATCCGGGCCGTGCGGGGGCCGGACGTGGCCGAGACGGAGCGGAGCAACCCATTTCTGTCACTGAGCAACCGGGGGTGGGAGGCGCTCGTCGTGAGGGACACAAAACAGATATGTCATAATGATGTTTGAAAATGAGAGGCCCCATAACATCTCTCCACTGCCGCAGGCTCTTCACCCCTCTCTAATTTGGGATCCCTAAACTAAGCCAGAGCTTTTTCCAAACTTTGGGAGCCAATTATGTGCTGGTAGGTGTACACATCAGATGATTGCAGCAGCAGGGATATTATGGGAAGCCAGTGAATGGTTGAACTTCGACCCTGATCTGACGTCTCTGCTTCACTTCAAAGAAATCAAGAGAGCTCTGTGCTGATTGGCTGCGTTGGCCGAGGGCTCAGGGGGGAGGGAGAGGGCTCATTTTTTTTTTTTTTGGTCCAACCCGAAATGTCAATTAGCATTGAGGCTGAACCCGTGTTTCAACTCTGTGTGGGTGCAAATGTGTTGACGACCGAGCGGGCATATTATATTTTGCCATTTTTTTTCATTATGGTTGTTGTCATCATTTCATTTCGACTTCATGTCCTTTAAATTCAGTTGATATGAACATTTTTAGGTGTGTTAGCTTTGATTAGTTTTAGTGTTAGTTTCAGCTTTTCTGGTGTTGAGTGCACGATAAAAAAAGTCACAATAAGTATGATGTCATTAAGAAAACTACGATCACCAAACGACTGTTCGACCGTCCTTCTTTTTGCCCGAGCGGTAATACAGAAATAAATCCGTTGAAATAACTGCGGAAAGCCCCTCAATCAAATGAACTGAAAAAGACAAAAACACCGGACATTTTTGTTCGAATTATAGTCTGTGTTAATATTATAAACCTCAAATGTACTTTCCATTCGGTTTCATGGTTTTTCAATTTCAGTTTGACTGATCTCGCTAACGTGGGGACTCGGCGACAACTTCCAAACTATCCAAATATTTTCCCAGCCATGCACGTTTTTTTTTTTTTTTTTTAACTCTCTTTCTCTCACGTGGCATAATAGCGATGCAGTTGAGAAGGAGCGGCGCAGGTTGTTTTCGTGTCCATAAACACACCTGTGCTCCGCGGCAAGTAAAAAGTGATGACGAACAGACGCGTCCGACTGGGGAAATAAGTTGCTCGGCTCGCAAGTGGCAGTAATCCAGCCACTCCAAACTCTGCCTACAAAGAAATAAACACAGACATTATAAAGCCCTCTTTATCCCTCAACGACTATTCCCATAAATGCTTTAATCACTACTCCCGCGGGAGTGTTGTGTGCACGTGTGCGTGTGTGTGTGTGTGTGTGCGTGTGTGTGTGTGTGTGTGTCCATCTTGTGATGTCCGACTGGTCTCAGTGCTGCACAGATGGGTCTATTTAGCTGCCAAGCGCGCCTGTAATTTACCAACATTTATTCCACCCCCCCCACCACCGCCCCCCTCCCACCAGTCTCTAGTTTTGCACTTCTAATTGGATCGAGTGCCGTTGATCAGGAGGACTCGCTGGCATTTTCGGCGCTACGTTGTCTTTCAGGAATCCAGTCCGAGCTATGGTCTAAACTTTCACTGACTTTTCAGTTGGCCGCTCTATCTTAAGCAATCCCCCGCCCCCGTCACACACATGGTCTCATCTCTTTGCCTCCGTTCCCCCACCCCACCCCAACCACCCACCCCATCCCCCCCCTCACCCCAACCACCCACCCATCCCCCCCGCTTGAAGTTGGGAGAGGTTCCAGGGAAAAACTGGTTGTGCTCCAATTCATACACACGAGACGTTTCAGTGGAGATGAAAAGCAGCTGAGAGCGAGCGAGTCGGCGTGAGAACGCGCCGCGTCTTGATCTGTTTTTGGTGCTCAAGGTGACTGGCGTTAAGGACTTTATTGCCGCCTTGTCGGAACGTCACATCACATTAACTTGCAGAAGCCGGAAAGTTCCGTTTTGCGCCTTTCAGGTTGTTACCGGAATGGCTGTTCTCTTATTGGCCCTCGCCTGGTTGTGTTTTTCCTGCACGCAACCATCGAATTCCCTCGAGATTGATGCGCAATACGTCATGACAGGTGGACATGCTGACTGTCTTGTCTCCGACAATAAAGTGGGATTTTATAAGTGAGCACACCACTGGGAAGGCTCAAAAAGGGCTGTTTTTCCAATTTGTTGTCGGTTTTTCTCTGCTGTGCCTTTCATACACAAACAGTTTCATCACATTTTTTATGACAAGAACTTAGTAGAATTTCACACGAATAGTATTTTGTGAGAAGAAATAATTCACAGAAAAGGGGCAAATTTTGGAAAAGATTTTTTTTTTTTTTTTTTTTGCAAACTTGAAACAGCTTCGTCTTAATTCGTCGTGGCATACATGTGGCGCTTTTTTTTTTTTTTTTTTGTAAACTTGAAACAGCTTCGTCTTAATTCGTCATGGCATACATGTGGCAATTCCAAGAATTCCGCAGGGATTTATGACTAAAACTAATGAATGACAAAAGTCGACACTCTTAAAACAAGTGGGCCAAAAACAAAACAATTGAAAAATCGGACCGGCCTGCTACTTCTCAATTTGACTCAACTTTCTGGTTTGTTAGGTTGTGTCAAATTGACCCAAGTAACAGGTCGGTCTGATTTTTTTTTTTTTTTACCAGATTATTGTTTTTATTACTACTATTTTTATCGACCAAGCAGTTTTAAGACTGTATGTTTATATACAGTCTGTCATCATAATCATTTAGTATGACTTCACATCGATAGTATATACACTTCTATATACTACAATCATCGTCATTGCTTTACCAATACAAAATTTGCCAAAAATATTTGTAAAAATAACTAAATCACGAAGTAAATAAATAACCCTAGAAAACGTATGAGGTGCTGGAATAAATGTTATGAAAATAACATGCCAAACTACAAACTGCCTTACCGCTGTTTTAAAATTGAGGCAACATAGAATTATAAGTACCGGTATTCCAAATAAAAACCCGAATTTCCTCCATGTTTATTAGTTCACTGCACCCTTCGGTGCGCGTCGCGCTGCTGGAACTTCTCTTGCGGGACACTTTAGCCTCCAATTCAATGTTCAACATTTGCATGCTTTTCGACCACATTCACTGGACGCCGCATCCTGCGTTTGGACGGTTGCTAGGTGATACATCATCATCACTGTGGAGGAGCTTGAGGATCAACGTGATGACAGGAGTGCAGAACAAATACGGGCGTTCTCCTCACGCCCCGCAAACGTTTCTTCCGCCGTGTGCGCGCGGGTTTTTTTTTGTTCCCCCACCCACCCATCCCCCCCGCTTGAAGTGTGCGTCTCGGAGTGTTCGTGCGCCCAGTTGCTTTCCCCTTCAATGGATCAGATATCTTTAAACACTCAAACCGCATTGGTTTATTTTTCTTGTCTTTAAGGAATTGAAATGCTCACTCTGTGCCGACTGTACGTGTGTGTGTGTGCGTGCGTGTGCGTGGAGATAGAAATGTTTTCCTGCTCATGCGAGAAGTGGTCTCAATTACTGCCTTACTCGCAAGTGGAAACAGATGGCAGCAAATGATGGGAGACAAAGTTGCTCTGTCTTACACGCACACGCACACACACACACACACACACACACACACACACACACACGCACAAAGACAGTCCTCGAGTCTTCTTGACGCAGCTCATCATTCATACTCAGCCAGACTTCAAAACAGAACCTGTATGTTGTGCTACCTCACACTTCATTGACTGTGAGCCTTGTCCCCCCTGCCCGAACCCCCCCCCCCCAAAAAAAAAAACTTTGGACTGAGATCTCCTTTGTCTATAAAACCAACTCAGAGCTGCGGGTTGATGCTGTCAAGTAAAGCTACGCTGCTTGGTATTACTTTCAAAAAAAAAAAAAGAGGCTTTTATTCCCATTTTATGTATCCTCCACTTACCTCAGGTATTTCCTCTTTCGTTTCGCTTCTTTCATCCGTTCTGACCGTTTTCAACATCCGCGCCGTGATGGACGGATCTGGTTGTGCCTCTCCTCCGTGCGCGTTTCCTGCAAAATGATAAAATGCCGTCAAGTTGTTTCCAAGCGCAACCAAGGAATCTGAACTCGCAACTTCTCTTTCACCTTCAGTGGGAGGAGATCAGCGTGATGGACGAGCGCAACACGCCCATGCGGACGTACCAGGTGTGTAATGTCATGCAGGCCAATCAGAACAACTGGCTGCGGACACGCCACATCAGCCGGGAAGGAGCGCAGCGGGTTTACATCGAGATCAAATTTACCCTGCGCGACTGTAACAGCCTCCCGGGGGTCCCTGGCACCTGCAAAGAGGTTTGTGTTAACTCACACACACAAGCAGTAACATGCATTGACACTCACTGGCCATAACGCTTGCACAAGTGTTTCGTGAACCGAAACAAAATTTTGCTCAAAAATCTTGACTCGTTCCTGAAACCATCCCGAACAAAAACATAAAAGCAACAATTTTTTTTTTTCTCTCTCGTTGTATATGAGCTGGGAGATCTCGTCTGTGTTCTTCTGTTTGCTATTTCGCACTGAATTTGTTCACAAGAACGTTGCAAGGATCTGTTCACAATCCCTGAAAGCTTAAAAAAAAAAAAAAAAGTTCTTGGCGCAGCCAAAATATTCACCGCTCAAGCAGGTATTGGCGTATATGGCCGCAATCAACCTGATCAACTCTGCGCGAGGCAAAGGATGCTCAATAATTCTTGAGATGCCACCCGGCTCGGCGAAGGAGAAGTGTCCAAATCAACACAGATTTAGACAGATTTGTGAACAATGTTTGTGAGAAATCGTCCTTTTGTAAACTTAGAAAGTCTCTTTAAAAAAACTAAAGAAAAAAACAAAAATGGAGTTTACAATCAGTTGACTCCATCAAATCAATAACTCTCCGACAGTGTAAAGCCAATTTTTAATGTGGCGGTCTGTGAAATATTTTCAGCTGCTTTTCGTATCTGGTAAGTGTACTTTAAGACGAGAGCGGCCGTCGTAACTGGTGAGTGTGGTGAAATGGTCCCCTCCCAAGGGCGCAAGTCACTGAGTTCATCGCAACCTCCCGCGGACGTCTTGTTGAAGTGAAGAGACACTCTCTCTTCTTTTTTCCCCAATCAATAGCACAGCATTGCATTGGATTTGGAGCAAGTCGGAATTGGATCGTCTCTCACGAGAGAAAAAAAAAATAATCATGTTGAAACGATTCTTGCCGCATTTTGGTGCAATGGAGTGAGGTTTATCAATGTAATAATGAATGTTATGAAAATGGGCTGATGAAAACATTCTGACATTTACGCAGTTGAGCAAATTTATCTTTGAGCGTGCCTTCCGCTGGATCAACTCGTTAGATAATTGAAGGGGGTCTGACCTTTGCGTAAAATTTGTTCCCGTTTTCCCGTTTAGATGCTGTTGGTTTGCATCCCTTCGGCGGATTACAGAGAAAGAAAAAAAAAAGCGGCGTGTTTATTTTTGTGTCGGGGTAGAATTGCAAAGCAAGATACGCGCTTCTCATGGCATCTTCCATTTATCAGTTTGATTATGTCGACTTACTAGTTGTGTGTACTGAGTTGAGTGACTTTGCTTCCTGCAGCGTTAAAAAAACAATTCCGTTTCTTCTTTCCAATTTCAAAGACTTAAAAAAACAACGCCCCAGAGACGCTCTCCGGAGCTCCTTGTTTACTTTTAATTCCCGATATCTATTTTTTTTTTTTTTCACAGGCCTCCATTCGCTCATATCTGTGATTTTACTGCTCCGCCGTATTCACTTTGTCTCCGCTGTGTCTGTCTCTCGCGCTCAGTCACTGACAGAGCATTTCTAGATTGAGTCGTGGCGGAGATGCAATGAGATTGCACAGAGCGGCCTTTTCAAAGAGCCGCGCGATCGTTTTGCGACGAGTTGTCGAGACGGATGGACTGACGCCGAGGGGAGAGGGCAGCAAGCTTGGTTGAAATTTCACATCGGGTGCACTGGTGGACGCCCACGTGCTCGACTACAATGAGTCGAAATGAACGTCAACGTTTTTATTTTTCATTTTTGTTGTTGCAGACATTCAACATGTACTACTACGAGTCTAACAACGCCAACTTGTGGTTCATCAAGGAAGGCCAGTACGTCAAGATCGATACGATCGCTGCAGATGAAAGCTTTACACAGGTAAGGACACGCTTACGCGTACTGTCGTGACCGCTGTACCTGAAAGGGTTAAAATATTTGGTCAATCAGATGTAAAGTTGCGTTTTTGTAACGCATTGCACCGTATTTCCTCTCGCCAGGTGGACGTTGGCGACCGCGTGATGAAGCTCAATACGGAAGTGCGCGACATCAGCAATCTCAGCAAAAAAGGCTTCTACTTGGCCTTCCAGGACCTGGGCGCTTGCATCGCTCTGGTTTCGGTGCGGGTCTTCTACAAGAAGTGTCCGCTCACTGTGCTTAATTTGGCCCAGTTCCCTGACACGATAACAGGGGGGGACACGGCCCTGGTGGAGGTGCACGGAGCTTGCGTGAACGCCTCCGAGGAATTTGAGGTTCCCAAGATGTACTGCAGCGCAGACGGCGGCTGGCTGGTTCCAATCGGGAGGTGTGTGTGCAAACCGGGCTTCGAGGAGAACAAGGACATCTGCCAACGTGAGTGGACCGCGTGTGTGTCTGAAAATGTGTCCGGATGCTGGCTCGCTACTGCGTAAGGAAGGAATGGTGGCGTATTTTGATAACCGTGTGGGTTTGTGTCTGGCGTCCCTTTGCGAAGCCTCCCTCAACAATGTTAGGCCAGGTCTCGGAAGGAACTGTGGGAGATGCTTTGAGGCATCTTCTCCTCTATTTAAGAGGTGCACGCGTGTGTGTGTTTGTCCATCTTGAATATCTCGTTTACCCCGCTGAGCTGAGGAGAGCACAGTTTGAGAAAGTGCTTATTGCTATGTGTGTGTTTGTGAGTTTAAAGTGGAAAAAGGTATGCCCGAGGAAGGCGGTTATTGAGTCGTAAAACTCCACAGATGGCATGTGCAATGTGCGCCGTGTTTGTCTGCCTGCTTTGCCCGCATGTATTGGGGAGAGTAAGCTCCATTAGATCGATGCCTTCCCACCGTGTCCCCGCAGGCTCACTTTCCTCCAGGAAAGGGGAAAAAAAAAAAAACCCAAATCATAGATATTCATCCTCGCAAACTTGCAACGCGAGCACATAATGCAATCTCGGTTGTTTTTCGAGAAGCGGCCGCCAAGACACCCTGAAACCTTGGCAGTGGGGGCCTTAGAGACAAGTGAATAAGTACAAGCTGTACACTGCAGCCTGCACACTGGTAATGTGCACAGATTGCGTCGGAACTCTGGCTGCATCTCAATCGCAGTTGAGCTTCGCGTCTGTCTGGAGCTTCTTCGGTGAGGGCTGATTTCAGCAATTCCACGTCCTACTCTGTGTCGCCTCCCTTTTCCTTTGTTTAAACGTACACTCAATCGGCAGTCGTCTTTTTTATTTTTTTTTTAGGACCGACACGGCATAGGTGGACTCTATGGCACGTACGGCTATTCGCCTCGCAGTTTGCGAGTCAATCAATCACGAGTTGAACCAACAGTTATTCTTGACTTCTTTATATGGTTTCAGTCATAACAGCCCACCAAGTGAAACGGTAACCAAAATGTGGCCCGTGCCAAAAACGAGTTTGACGCCCCTGAGTTAGCAGGTTGAAGCCCATGAACACATTGCCATGAACCTACGATGTTTTGTTGCATGCTAAAATGCTAACTGCTCAATTTCCCAAGCTCGGTTTAACTCACTCATAGTGCATTTGTGTATATGCGTGTGGGTGTGCGTGTATATTGTCACTGCGGGGAGTGGGGGCGGTCTCAGATGGTCTAAGGTCAAAGAGCAGGAATCATGTGACCTTTGTCTTGTGTAATTACTTATGGTGAGTAGATTACCGGACGGCAGGCTTCCATTGTTGGCCATAAATCCTTTTTTTTTGGTTCGAGTTCAAGTTAAAGCATATTTGCTTGTGTGGTGATTATTGTGGAAACAATCGACGGGCGCTTGCCAAACAATTTGAATTCCCTTGTGATGATTAGAAGCATATCGGTGGCATGTTTTCCTTTGACACCTACTCACTTCACAAATGCATTTTGGGCAATTTAGGCTTTTTTTTTTTTTCTCCCCACATGCACTCAACAGGCAACACATTATGACCACCTGCACAATCTAATGAGATCCAATTCAAGAGACTGCAAAAACCAAAAAAGTAGGGGTTGGGATAATAAGGCTCAGTTTTGTGTGTGTGCACGTAAGCAGATCAAGTCTTGCAAAATGATTTCGAAGAACATTTCTGAACTACTATTGCGTTACCCATTTAATTAGGGGAAGCCAAGATGTTTTGTTTGTATGGTAGCAAGGCAATATATTTTTTAACCAACCTTATCTTTGGCCCAAATTAGATCACTTAACCTTAACGGTGAGTGCCTTCATTATAATTGTAATTGTACTTTGCAATAATAAACTTATTATTACGACCACTCTGGCAGTGTCCGTCAGAACCTAGCACGATTGTCTTTGTTTTGGTTATTGGATAAAATGAGTCATTTTGATCATGTATATTGTACTTTCAAAATCATATTGATCATTTTGCAGGCTTTCCTGAAATTGGTGTCCACCCTGTCATTCTTGAGTCACTTTTCCTTGAAGATACCCTCTGATGTATGTACGGCAGCGACGTTTTTAACAGCATTCCGAACAAGTGGACAGTTGCAGAATAAATATTGAAATTGATGTTTTATCATTGTCATTATATAGTATATATAATATATAGTCAAGTTTGTCCACTCTGTCACAGTGACATATCAGTTGATACAAAACCCTTTTAGAAATGGTAACTGTGCTGTTAAACAGCTTGCTAAGTGAATCATGTCGCTAAGTGAAGGCCCACCATGTACTCATTCATTGTTAGCATAAGCCAAAATGTCCACTCTGTCAGAAAGCTTATGGAAAAAAAAAACTGGTAAGAGTTTGACCACCTGTCAATGTGCACACACAAAATGTAATTTCATTGTGTTCAGAGAAAGAGATCAAAATACAGATATTTTTAGAGGGGAGGTTTGAGCACTGCAGTCGCATCCATGCTTGCATTTAAAAAAAGACATAAGAGGCCGCATAGAATATTAGCCAGTGCGTTACGCTTTAATGTGTCCCGCTGAGAGGCAGCCGGGCTCTGCCGCATCCACTCACACCTGTATGGTGGCTCTAAACAAAATGTTCCTGCCCTGACGCATTCTAAAGGTCCTCCTCTGGGAAAACACACGCTGCTAATGCATTTAAATCACCCTCTCGCGCTTGCCTTCGCACAAAGAGTTGGGGGATGGGGGGTGGGTGGGTATGGGGAACGGACGGGCATTTGCGACTCCCATTGTGCAGGTGAACAAGTCTTGTAATGGCCACTTTGAATTCCTTCTCTCTTGTTCCTCTTTGCCATTTCGCTGCTCTGACGTTCATTGTTTTTCCGTGCTAATGTTCTGTGCGGATCTCCCCCTTTTTCCCCCTTGAGCTGCCTCATTTTGTGTCAGTGTTTGTCTCTGACTCCCATCCGTGCCCCCCCCAGCGTCTCTCTTTGTATCCTCATCCCTTTCTCTCTCTCGGTGTGAGGCGCTAATGGAATCATTACTAGCCTTTCTGTGTTAGACAAACAGCAGACACCTCCAATTACTGCCCCCCCCTGCCCCCAGCAACCTCCCCCTTCTATATGCTATGTCTAACCGCGCTTCGGTGTCTCTCTCTCTAATCAGGCTTTTTTTTTTCCCCTCACTGTCCTTACACATTCTTATGACAGTCGTTTTCCACCGTGCCATCTTTGTTCATAAAATTCAGTAACTTTATACGATTAAGAATACCAGCTAGCTAGCTAGCTAGCTAGCTAGCTGGCTGGCTGGCTGGCTGGCTAGATAGATAGATAGATAGATAGATAGATAGATAGATAGATAGATAGATAGATAGATAGATAGATAGATAGATAGATAGATAGATTGTGTAATTGCTATTCTGTTAACCTGTGTTATATCACTCACACGTTTGCCGCCTGTGAACTGAGGCGCGCGTGCTCAACAACGCTGCGACTCCATCACGGGCAATCATACAGATGCGCTTTGTCCCTTCACGGGGACTTCCAAAATCTCTCCCTCACTCCCACTCCAACCATCATTTGCACACTCCAGGAGGCCACCGCTTCTTTCAGACAGGCTTGTTTGTCTCTCATACATTCGCCATTACTGCCTCCATTCCCGCTTGGCGGTCCTTCGCCCTCTCCCGCTTTCTCCCAGGCGGCAAGGGAGCACGGTAAAATCTCTTCTCAAACCTCTTTAAGCCCAAGGGGTACACGTTGAAGGGCAGGAGTGTGTGTTTGCATGTGTGTTCTGTCCTCTTCTGTGTGCCTGACAGCGCCAATTACCGCCTCAGATGGAGAAAAGAGAGCGGAACAGGACAGACACCTGTCACCTCGTAAGACCTCCTCGCACTCTCTTTTCCTCAGCATGCCGCAGTACTAAAGCTCGGTGTGGCACTCCTTTTTTGTTGCAGACGCGACTCGATTTATAGCAGCTTTCTCCTCGCGCAATCGGCATCTGTCCGGTGCTGCAATCATGACGTAACAACCTAATTTACAGGAAGAAAGTCAAAGAACCACGACATTCAGATTCCTTTTCGCTTTCTGAGAAACTGGACTAAAAGCAAATGAGTGAGGCGCTCAAGGCTCGGGCACTGCTGATTGCTGATATGCTGAACGTACAGAACCGAATGGACTTACTCAGAGATATCTAGACTATTTAGGACATTATAAAATCGCACTCAGACCAAGGGCATTGGGACCTCTGCCAAGGCTTGGTCGTTTGTCACCTGAAAATCATCTCCCATCTCGGACATTAAGAGCACAGGAGCTACAATTTGCTATGAACCGAGGGAACAAAGTGTTATAGGATCCTACTCAAGCACCGCAAATTACAATGCGATCTGTTGAGATTTGACAGCAACATTAATGGTAAGCATGTGAACACGTTCAATGGGATTTTCCATGTGACTCTTCTGCCAAGTGCTCCACAATCTGAATCTTAATTTAACAGTTGATCTTCAGATTTTGCATAAACAGAGCTAAATTTAACCTTAACCCTGTTCAGGGACAGCAGTTACTACAGCGGACATCTTATCAGGTTACAGGGTGCATGAAAGGGTTAAAAAAGCCTCAGTGGTTCAGATCAATGGACAAACCCATGAAAATTTGATTTTTTTTTTCATCTCCGGTGATCTCGTGGTAACCTGTGATATCATTTTCAGCTGACATAACGTGGGAAAAACTCATCGGCCATAATAGGATCACTGAAAGTAACATCTATTCGTTCTCAGTAATGTTGACTCTAAAACGTCCAAGTTGCCTCCTGGACGCGCGCGCTTCACCCATTCCGCTCATCGTTTCGTTGAAAAAGACGGGTAAACCACTGCTCTGAAAACATAACTTCCTTGGAAGAGAACCCGCCTATTAAGGGCTGGCCATGTGCAAAAGTCAGGCAAACATCACTTTTACACACCATAAAGTCCGCTTGGCTGCCGCTATGAGATCATAACTTTAGGGAGGTGACGCAGAGGTCTGTACAATGTCGTTTAC